CCCCAAAACCCCAAAACCCCAAGTTGCTAATTACTAAACAGAAATGTTCAGATGAATATTATAAAAAATGATAAATATATTTCAATTATTCAGAGATTATTACCTTTTCATCAATGATTCATTGATCTGCATCTGTCTACTTCAAATATAGCTTTAGATACTTGAATATATCTGACGCAACAACCTTTTCAACTTACATTCTCTAATAAAGAATTGGGCATTAACTTATCATATACTCACATGTGTTGGGGTTTATCATGTTAGCAGATATAGCAAACTCTATGAAGCAGTCCTAGATTTATTTTCGAGTTCCGTATTATTTCTTAAGCCCAATCAATTCTGAAAATTCTTTTTCTACCTCATATACAATCTCTCCTTAATCCTTATCGTTTTTTCTTCCTACAGGTATTCTTGATCTTGTTTTTGGTTTCTGATTTTGAAAATTTTATTTGGAAGCCGTCTCCTTCTAAGAAAAAAACTCGTTGAGTTTTGACTGTCCTGGTATTTAAGGTATTATTATAGGTGCTGCAGGGGGTTCATTGACTTCAATCACTTTTTTTTATTTTTATGTTGAGTGTTATTATTTTGATTTTTTTGCCTTATTTTATGAAATTTTAGAGGGTGTATCAAAGTTTGTTCCAAACATTAGTCTATCTTAGAAGTTAGGAATATTCAAAGTTTAATTCTAATTTTATACATTCCATTGAGGAAAATGCGCATTACTGTAACCTTATTTTTGAGTATAATTACTTCTTTAATTCTGATTAAAATTATTCTAACTCTAAATCTGATTTATCATTGGATTATAATTCTGAGGGTTATTTTAGAGTTAGTTATTCATCAACAAGGGCATCATTTGCTACATCATAATCATTAATTACTATTGCTGATTTTACATATCCTAACTTTCAACATTTTAATAATTTTAAACGACCAAATCACTCTTTTTCTTGCTTTTACTCTAAATTTTGGTGAATCGCTTATTCTTTTGATTATTTTTAGATCTTCTTATATTTTTATCAGATTTCACTTATTTAAATACTTCACTTAATTCATAATCATTATTATTAGCATCATAAAACTCCTCATCATCTTCATTATCACAAATATTTATGAGATCCACTAATTAAGAGGCAGTAACATCTGTATCAACTTTTCTACGTTTACTTTAATAAAATAACTTCGAAAATTTCTCAAGTTTACTCTCAATCTGAGCTTTTTATGAAGCCATTTTAAGTGCATCCTTTCCATTTCTCTTTAAATCTCTGTTACCAATTTCATTGTGCTTTTCACAAAAGACAAAACACTCAATTGATTCCCCATTCTCTCGCTAGTAATCCATTGATTCCCAATCTTTTATCAGAGACGCTTAAATAGCGCATCATACATGAAAAGCTTGCTTGCAATCCTTATAATCACATTAAATACAGCTGCCAGTATTCTTTTTTCTACAAACACAACAAAATAATTTGGTTCTCTCAGAATTATTAATTTTCCCATCTATCTCATTTTTAAATTCGTTGGTAAACCAGACATCAGGTATCCAATTAACGCAGGTATAATGAGCCCAAATATTATTCTTCTAGCAAAACATCAGCATTCCCTTCAATTAATTGCAAAAATGGCATTTAATATCAATAACTGTAAGTTAGGTATTAGAAAGCAAGCAAGTGCATCTTCGACAAAACCATTAATTGCTTTGAGGGTAATTTTTAAGAATTTCATTACCATAGCAAGACTAATGTGTTGCTGAGTTGCATAAATCACAAATTACAAGGGAATCAACTCCATCTTCAACTATGTCATCAAGGCATACATCACAAACGATATTCTCATCAATTTCATTCTTTTTCTCATAGATATAAGAGTATTTGATGTTGGGGATGCTTGACTTTACTATTTGCATGTCATATATATTCATTAAATCTTACTCTTTACTTATATTTTTTTAAATGTTTTTCTTTTGCCTTTGTTCAATTTACTGTAATGCCTTTTTGCCTTGTTCTAAACTTTTATTAGTATTACTTTTTTGAGAATGATTGCTTTTCTCAGAAAGAGTTTATTGACTCAGTACAATCTTTTTACTTTTACTTTTATTTCTTGCTTTCGATTACTAACTTTTTGAGGACTAAAATGAGTCTTGAGACTATTTTTTATTTTTATTTTATTTTTATTGATTAAGTTGCTATTATTCTAAGTAAGATTCTTGGTTGGCTGCAACTTGCAGATCCTTGTATAAGTTTTAACAAGAAGATCTTTTAACTTAATCTTATTTAGAACCATTAAAGCTCCCTGGACTTTCAGGGTTGCATTAATTATTACCAATTTTATTAAAGGGTTTAGTTGTGCTTAACTTATTAAATTTTTAGGCTTATTCTTGGTTTAACATTTGAATTAGTTTTGCATTGAATTAGTCTTAGGCTTAAGCGTTTGTATCATCATTCTGAATAAAATCTGGTATTTCAATGACTTATACTTAATTTGTAAGCTAATCTTTCTATGTTACTGGCAATTATTGATTTATCATGTTAAAATGTTAAGCTTAGTTAGTAAAATAGGCTTTTCTTTACATAAACTCGATAAGCTAAGATCGATTAGAATCCTATTGAGTCTAAATAGGAATAGTAGATATTTAAAGTTTATTCTGTTTTTCTTAAAGATTTTAGTTCATAGTTGTGCAAATTTCATTTTATTTCTAATATTCAGTCGAACTTTGAACAGATTTATCAATATTATGTGAAGGGTGATTTTAGAATTGTAGAAAATTATTATATGAGCTCATAGTGTTTTTATTTTATTCAAGCCATTATTAAAAAGGATTCATTCCTTGGAAAGTATTCATTTACATTAATTGAGGCTAAAAATTCTGTTATTATATCTGTTAATTAGATGGTGATTGAAAAGGCTATTAAAAGTTATTAATGTTATTGTTGTTGTTATTAGTAAACTTTAATTATTATAGGGCTAGCAATTTTTATTAAAGTTATATCAAGCTTAATTAGTTATCATTATCTGAATCATCCATATTCCAAGTTTCGCTCATTAATCACTAAAATTGATATATCGGGGTTTTGGGGTTTTGGGGTTTTG